CTACTTGAGCCCACAGAGCAGCAGAGTCAGATGGAAAAAACTCTAATAAGCCTGTCAAAGTGAGATATCTGTGATCGGTTTTGTTGTGACCCATTTTAATCCAAAATCACTATTCGACTTCACCAGAACAGATGAGTGAGGCTCTGTAATCTCAATACCAATTCTTCTGCCAAAAATAAAGTGGGAGAGGAGAGGGAGAATGAGGGACAAAGACATGTGAAGAGGCTGACACAAACACAGGTGTCATTATAAAAACCACAAAACCTCAATCGTGGATAAAAATATTAATGTTTTTTGTTATTTTGATGGCTTGTCTAAACCATTACAGCAGAACGAAATGCTGGTTGCCAATCACCGACTCAGAATCTCAACCACTGTTGGCTGTGGGTGGACAAGCTTCTTTCCCCTGATAGCACAGGCTGCCAGAGGAGAGGAAGAATGACAGTGTGGGGGTAGAGGGGGAGAGAGAAAATCATTCAATATTGCACTAAACTACAGCTTTAGCCTATGTAGTGCATTATACTAATGCATATGATATACTTTGTCATGTAATGTGCTATCTTGCACTACGCTGCAGTGGCAAATATGTATGGTAATAGGCAGTGGACAGAGATTTCGTTTATGTGTGGGTGGGTCTGACTGTTTCTTACATGAGAGCTCATGGTGACTTACTATTCTGCTCATACAGTTAAGAGTATACATATATCTATATAATATACATAATGCATTTGACCTCAATTTATTAGTAAAGCCAGGCATGATTCTCTTTAATGTCAACCATAAAACCAGTATTTACTACATATATCACAACTTTTTATGTAGTCAGTACACTATTGTTTAAATATAGGTATTTTAAAATTATTCACTATGTGTGGTACAGTATAGTTTAGACTGTGATTTTAGCCCACTGGTAGGTGTTTGCTAGGCAACATGATGCATAAGGAAAAAATTAGATGTTGTCGCAAAATAAAAATGATTTCCTGAGGTGGTATTTGTGCATGCACATTATATTTGGGTCTTTTTTAGTTTATTGGTAGGTTGCTAGGCAACATGATCACATCATATCTTAATGTCACTGCTGTGAAATAAAAATTATTGTATGCTTTTATAAGTCGTCGAAAGTGCATAAACTCAAAACTCAACAAGTGGATTGTTTCAGCCTGTTGGTAAGTGGTTGCTAGGCAACACGCTTGATGTTGTAGTTTCTGATATAGATGAGAACCTTCAGGGAACCTTGCTCAACTCTTGATCATGCAGGAAGAGTTTACAAACAAACAGAGATTTCATGTATTATAAAAAGATTAGTGTAAACTGTCAATAGAAAATCTCTGACCATATCATGTCAATAAAGCTTTACTGAACTGAAATAAACTGGGAAATTTCCAGATGGCAGTATCTCATACAGTGGAAAAAAGGATATGCTGGTGAGGAGGGTGGTAGTGCTTTCTAGAAGCCTGCTAAGACGAATACTTAATACTAAAATATGTTAAATCAGTGACATAAACTAAAAAAGGTTCAAACCTTAACTATGCCTATATATCCCAAGTGTATCCTGATGACAGTTAATCCTAAAAACCACTCCCGGCATTGGCTGAAATGAGCTGGCATATCAGCTGTACTTTTGCTTCACTGCACTTCGGCTGCAATTTTAGACTGATTTTAAAATTTTATTGAGCACCCCTGGGGCACATCCTAAATTAGCGATATCGCTGAGGTTTTAACTTATTATATGCCACAGCTGAACCTGATGAATATTCCCGCAAAATAGACTGTGGGTGATGTGACTTTGTAGATAGAGCCATAACGTCTCTTTTACTGTTTTTAAAAAAGGAATATTAAGAATGATTCATCTTTGAGTTGAACTAGTGATAAATTATGATGATACCCTGCAATATTCATCATGGTTGTTGTCAGGCAGCGCTAACATATTACCTTATCACTTGATATGGGAGCCTCTAGAGGGGACTTAAATTTGACATTCATTGCAGCTTGCAGTGCAACCAAGAAGCCCCACATTACAGAGAGGTTGGTGCTGTAAGGCTTCAGCAAAGGAAAAAATAGTCACAAAATCCATCAATAAATCCAGACTGCTGGAGAACACTGAATCAGATCTAGGTGTAAAACTAAACAAGACTGTCAGTACACAAAATTATTATCTGGAATAAATGTTTAGACCACTCACAATAATCACTCAAAATCAGCAGGAACCACACAGAAACAGCTACTTACAAACTACGGATAGTGGTTTATTTTAAAATACAAATAAATAACCTCTGTGGTGTTTGTCACTAGTTTTGTCACTGGACCTGGTGTAGTGTACTGACAAGTAAATGTTAACAATGTCTATTTAGTGGCACAGACTTGATCCAGTGTGGTGGGTAAACAACACATTCTGTTGTGGCCATGCATTGTTAAAATGTGGTCACAATTTAATTATGTTCCCATGCAATTCTAACCAGTGACCACATCATAATGTTCACAAGGCAATATTTTTCCCCCATGTCCCAAAGGAGTTAAGCATTTTTAAGACTATTCTATCTCTTCAAGTTGACTCTAACCTTACATGCCCCAAAGAGTATCAGCGGTTTTATAAAGTTTATTTGCTCACATTTAGCTAACCTTAAAAACGGCATTTTTTTTACTAGCTTGTACTGCTACAGGGAAAAAGAAGCATGTTAAAGCAATGGAAAATAGTTCAAGTCTGAGGCGAGCTTTGACAGCAGCAAACTCTACCTCAGGGAGAAAACAGGAGAAAAGAAACAAAAGAGAAACAACGAAGAATCCGAAGGACGACAATTAAACAGTCTTGTAAAAACAGTGGAAATTTCTCCAAGCAGGAAAAACAACTGCTGTGTACGCGGTAAGAACAAAATGAGTACATCTATAGAAGAAGGGAGGATGCCATATCAGTTCTGCAACAGACTGAGCACCAGCTCATCTGTCGCCAGAGTACTGCAGGTTTAATCCCTGTAACCTTTGCAGTGGTAAAAATAAGTTGTACTGTTGCACAACTCACTGTAATCTGACAGGTGTGTAGGAGAGGAAAAACGTGGAAAAGATCTCTCGTGCACAGTTTATTTAATTCAGCTACACTTTAATGTGTGTCAAAGCACAGAATACATGTCAAGGGTCTTGCTACCGAAAGTACTGTATGTACATACTTCAAAAAGTAAGTATGCACATACTTGTAACTTAAATACACACTTTTTGTTGGGGAGAGGGTGTGGAGGTTGACAAAAAGTGGCTAAAATGTGATAAGTAAATGTTACAATTCTCTCTTCTATGTACGAACCATTCAGGATGTGAACTCTAGAAGATAAAATAAGTGTCTTTGGATTCCTTACCCATATCTCAATATACTTTTAATCTTACCATCACACTAGTTGTGGTGTTATTACTAGAGCATTATCCATGTACACAGCAAAGAAGGACTGCACAGCAAAGAAG